TTTGAGTTCTGGGGTTAAGAAAGAAGCCACCCTTCGCGATCGTGTCGTAAAATGGCAAGACCCACTCCAGTTACTACTCACCAGGACATTATCATCTGGGAACTCCAGGTCAGCAAGATATTTGGTCAGATACATTGGACTGTGTCTTTTCGTTAGAATAAAATCCTCGGCGTTCCGTGAATCACAGTCAACATTGTGCTGGAGGAGAAGGTTTTGAACAGTGTTTACTGGCAGAAATGAAAGTACAGCTCAATGCCAAATCTACAAATACTATAGAATCCTCACATGCCAATCCTTCGACCTTAACCGCAGACATGCCTACTGCATGCATCTCTCACACAACAGTGGACGCACCATGTACAGACTGTAATAATCACGGACTAAGCATTGACTTCAAAGTTCCACTACCGATGTCTGTTGCTGACGCTGACGCTATAATTAGATAATCTGGCATGTTGGGTAAACATTCAGACGAATCCAATGATTCATCTCTTATTCCATAGCACCTTGGTGCCTTATGTCACACAAGACAGGTGTGCTGATTTCCTAGAACAATTACACAGGCCTTCTTTGTTAAATATTCCAATATAATTAGTTCTGTAGTACCACCGTTAAAGGTTTATATTCAACAATATTCAAGCGATCTTCATGAACGTATTTGCTTTCGGTATGAGCACCGTGCAGTGGATGTAAAGCTTCAATGTTTCTATTAATACTTTAAACTAATTAGGTTAAATTTTTATTCTTGTCGTCAACTTTTGGAATAGAGCCGATTTCTAACAAATGGTTGAATGAAAACTTCAGACGACGCTGGATTAACGGCATCAAGAAATGATGTAAAGGCCACAGTAATCGCAAAGAGACGGGAGTGGTTAGTACGATGTTTGTGCGTCATGCAACAAGCGGCAAAGAGGGGATGGTACGAATTTCTTAATTTATGCGAGCTACATATATAACCTTTCCTTGAAATGATACGATTATTGCCTAACATGAGAATGAACGCGAAATGCGGACTTCATGCCTTAAAGCAGTTCATAAACTGAAGAACTACTCCCCCCTCCCAAACGCCGCGTGCAAATATGTAGATTTGGCATAACATGGAAAGATGCTAGCAGCTGTGAATCAGTAAGAGAACAAACAAGAGACTGAGGATATTCGAGTGAAGAAGTTTGAGTGGCGGTAGACATGTTACAGGAAAAACCGACTATCGATGGATCAGAGCTTTGTTATACTGGCTTCTAAGATAAAGCAAACGGCCCGTAGAAAGACCTACAGACAAATTGCAAACAGAGCTCAAGAAATTCACTGGGTATAGATGGATAGAAATGACAGAAAACAAAAGTTGATTGCAAAGTCTTAGAGAGGCCTTCATCTAGCAGTGGATCGAAAATGGTCGATGATGATGAATCTAACCATAAATGCTACGCTGCTAGAGAATGAGATCAAAAATATACCATCTGTACAATAAAGAAAGAGGTTGCAACCGAAACTTCACCTTTTAAAAAATTAAGGCTAATCTCTGTCAAAATGAGGCGAATGCAAATATTTGTCCTGACTTGGAATTCATAATTAATTCTTAACAAATTCGTTACTGTTTTCTATATTTCTGCCAATCGATGCCAGGTGCGCAGAAGACGAGCTAGCACAATTTTAAGCGTAGTATTCTACGATCTAAAAACTTCAAAATAGACTTCCTCCAGCGTTCGACACAACATGTTCATGAAATGCACCGTGTACTTAAAATATACTGATTTAGTTTCGGATCTGAAAATGCCTTATTTTATATATTTAGTTGTGTGTACAACACAACAGCAAACGACAGCATGACAGATCTATATGACGAGAATTTGATCAATGCTATCGTTGGCTTGTTTTCAGACCTGAAGTTGATTCTGTTAGTAAATATGCCATTCAATAAACTGAATAGTGAATTAATTTTCACATTATAAATATGTCAAGTGAACTGAACAGTTGTTGTCCATTTTATTCTCCGGCAGGTGTGTACTGATTGTAATTTAATGCATCAATATACAAATTTGCTTTCTGTGTCAGGCTGTCGGTCTCTAAAGCATGACCATTTATTTTAAACGTCCAAAGCAACTGATATTATGACTAAATAACACCTTGGAATATAAACAGGACCATCACAACACCCTGAGCGCGTTCTTAGCTGTAAAAACGTGGTACGAATACACAACCTCTCTGCTGCTGGAAAACTGTGAAAACGTTAATATGTGAATATCATCCAACCTCAAAACTTCAGGCTAATTCAGTGTCAATAAAGAGCAAAAATATAACCTCACATATTAGGTAATTTTAAGCAGAAAAATATTTGAAAAAATGTTGAAGGACAGACGTTCGAACGCATTCAGCCTTGTTCACATCCTCCATGAAACACGGTCCTTCGAAGCATTGGCCCTCGTTTTTCTGGTATACAATCATTAATTTAGGAAGTAAAACGAAACGTCTTTCATATCAGTGGTCATAATACATAGAATAGGTGAATAAACCAATTTAGGCCAGGGTGTTTTAATAAATTTATTCGCTTTATATTTGTGTCTGTAATCGGTACATTAAAGATCGTTTCTTCTGAAAACCTTTAATGTCGAATATTGGCACTGAATCGGTAAAAATTTCAATACAGCCATTAGATTATGAGTTTCTTCTCACGCAAATTCCAGCTATACTTTATTTTGCTCTGTTGTAATGGCGCTAACAACAAATCTTGTTCTGCATTACTAATAATGTAACTAATGGTAGGAATTAATAATAAACAAGTAATAAACTGAATAAATATATGTCATTCAGTACTCAGAATATTGCAAACGAAGCCACTCTCAGACACTCGTTTCCTCATGGGCCAGAAATGAAATTCCGTCTGAGTTTCGCAAAATTCATTTCGTTTATCGCTAATGACCATGAGGCAGTCAAAACTAATCGGTAACAGCACATCTTTATGAAATGCGTTATGATTATCCAGAGAACGAGTGCAATTTTCGATTACTGGTGGATTATTTGTTGTTCAGTATTAATCTTAAACGCTGCAAAAAAACTTCTCATTTCCGCTAAATCACTGATTCATTAATTACCTCAGATATTGACCCAATGTTCTTAATGGAAGAAAGATGCTTGGAAATCGTCTTCAGCATTGACTCTCTTGTGCCTTCTTCTGAAAAACGCTGCAACGTTCTGACTTCAGCTAAATTTTCATTTTTTCCTGATACAGCGCTGGTAAGCAGATGATTAACAAATATTTCTGCCTCACATCTAACAGTGAACAGATAAGCAAGGATTACTTCTTCTGTCATATGGCTGGATCCGCCATCCTGTTGTCCTATCACCGAATTCAGAGCACAATCCTTCAGGAATATTGTGTGCCATGGTCTGTCTCCATGGCCGTAGGCATATTCCTTGATTGGCTTCATTTGATGTTGAAGAGACAGGTGGCCGAGTGACCTTGACAAATCTGAATCCGATG